TTTTTTTCCTGCTGGCAGTGTGGACACAATATTTTGACTTTTTGAATCACTGGTACAGAAGTACAATATCTCACATTCATAGACTGCAGGTTTTTTGAAAAATTGATTTTTTTTCTGTAGAATAGCACAATGGAAAGGGCTTTTGATATGATTATCCCAGGTATGTATGTTCATATTTTGGAGTCTATATAATTCTTCTCATTTTACAGAGGATCTGCAGGCAGTTACAAGTAGACAAGTAGATTTACAAAACATTGAATAGTTGAGGAGAGCTGGCATGGTGTAGTGAAAACGCTTGTCAGGTTAAAAGACCTGGATTCAAATCCCTGCTTGTCTGTGGAAAATCACTGGGCAATGGCAATAATCTACTCATTGAACGTCTTGTATACCTTGAATACTGTGTAATGGCCAGTATAAATTGGAAGCAGTTTGATGGCTCATGACAATGTACAGTGGTGCCCCGCATAGCGAGATTAATCCGTTCTGGATTAACCTTCGCTATGGGGAAACATCGCTAAATGGAACGGAAAAGCCCAAATGGACCCAAAACTCACCGTTCTGTGCTGTTTCCCCATGTTCCGGCTGCCATTTTGGGTGTTCCAGTGGCCATTTTGGGTGTTCCGGCGGCCATTTTGGAACCACCGAACAGCTGTTCCCCCATTGCAATGCTATAAAACATCGGTATGCGATCACATTAGCGATCGCAAAATCTGCATCGCTATGCAGATTCATCGTTAAACAGTGTGCTCGTTATGCAAGGCACCACTGTATATTGTTTTGGGAGCTCAATATCTGAGATAGTTCCTCTCTCTATATGTAATTGCCTAATTATTAACATATGTTGGGTGGAGCTTCATCTGTGTTGCACCACAGAGAAGAATACACTGTGTGGAGATGCAGGAGGCATTCCCTGCTGTAATACCTTAGTTATGGAATGGTCTGGAGGCTTGATTGATACATTTTCATTTTGATGCCCAGTTAAAACATTACTATTAATCTAACCTCCTTGAGTTTAAGGAGCTAATCTTGAGATGTGAAGTTTTGTAATGTGTATGGTTTAATAGAGAGTATAAATTGTAACAATGAATTGTATGCTTTAAGCTATTTAAATTGTTTTATATTGTTCTTGTTTTGCCCTATCCTAAGATACCATGTTATAAGGCTGGATATAAATATTCCAAGGAAATAAGTGTGATTATTTGGTGGATCTGTCAAGTAATTAGCTACCTAAGAGTTGGCGTTCCGAAGTTGAGTTGGATGAGATGTCCTCAAGTGTAATCTTTAAAAGGCAGATTTGCTTAAAATCAAGGGGAAGGAAAAAAAAAACCTGAACTAAAACACCCAACAAACTGGGCTAGTTTGTAGTTCGTTCCACAATCCAGTTTGGTGATCCTTTTTGTTGAAGCAAAACAAAACACCAAACTTTTTTTCCCTTTGGCATTTTGCTTGCTTTAGCAAAACGAGGTGTCTCCCACACCTTTTACACTGCCTCCCTTGCCTTGGCCTAACTACTCCTACCACTAGCTCACTAAAAGCTCAAAATATAAGGAACTTTTAAAACAAAAGAAACATGCATTTATGTCAGCTCAATGGGAGGAACTAAGGCAGGCTGTGCTGGAAAGGAAAGAGCAAAAATTCTGGAGTATGGTCTCATCCATGGATATAGGTCCCAATCCTGCACCAAATGCTTGCATCATGGCAAATGCCTGGTGCCACCACTTTCGAACTATTTTCAATAGTGATGCAGATATTGGGCCATAAAAAAGTGAGAACCCCCCAGACCCTACTAATTTCCATACCCAAATGGCCCCAGTATCAGAACAGGAAGTGTGTAAACTTATTGACGCTCTAGCAACAGACAAAGCACCTCGCGAGGACATGATCCAGCCAGAAGTGTATAAAAACAACCCAGAATTGTGGGCCCCAGTCCTAGCACAACTCTTCTCTCACATTAATGCTACAGGAATTTTCCCTGAGGGGTGGAGACAGAGCGTAATTTTCCTAATTTGTAAAAAAGGCAATAAATCCATCCCCCAGAACGATCGCCCAATCAGCTTACTGGATATCAATTCCACACTCTATACCCACCTTCTTTTTCAGAAGCTGGCTAAATGGATGGAGGAAAATAACATCCTTCATCAGGAACAAGCAGGTTTTAGAAAGGGCCACTGCACAGTAGATCAAATCTACATGCTACATTATCTTGTATGCAAATATACCACCAGGCTATTCAAACGGCTGTTCACAGCTTTTATTGACTTTTCTTCTTCATTTGACACAATCACCAGAAACTGCCTGTGGGACAAGCTCACAGAGACCAACATTGATAAGAGACTCCTAACCCTAATACAAGAACTATATTCCAACATAACCTTGAAGGTAAGGATTAGCACAGACAGAAGGCTGAGAGAGGAAATTCATACTAACAAAGGGGTAAAACAAGGATGCTTACTTGCACCCCTACTTTTTAACTTTTATTTTTATAATATTGTAACAGCTTTAAACCATTCAGATCATTTCCCCCCAATTGGGAATTATAAGGTTGCAAGTCATATATATGCTGATGACATTGTATTACTATCTATGAACAAAAAGGGACTGAAGAGAAGCTTAAATATGCTCCAAGAGTTCAGCCACCTAGAGTAACTAAATATAAATTACACAAAATCTAAAGAGATTATTTTTGGAAAGCATTCCCCCAAATTCAGCTGGACTATAGGTGAAAATAAAATAGAACAAGTCCAGACCTTTAAGTACCTAGGAGTGCATTCTGATGAGAAAAACTGCTGGAAATCCCAGATCCAGAGCACCAAAATATTGATTCAGAAATCTAGCCCCACTCTGGCCAAATTTTTCCATTCTAAAGGTGGGTTAACCTAGTAACCCCAGCTTTGAAAGTCTTTTCAGGGAGGGTGATCTCTCAAATGCTTTATGGAATTGAGATCTGGGGTATGAATCAGAACAACCTACACCATCTTGAAGTAGGACAGAACAAGTTTCTGAGACACAACCCCAGGGGACTCTGGCAGTTTTTCCTAGAACAGAGACAGACATGGTGCCCATTAAAGCCAGGGCAACACTAGCTATATTCTCCTACTATAAGAGGGTGATGAATATGTCCAATAACCATCTACCTAAACGCTGTATGGTAGAGCAGTGGAAGAGTGGTGACTGGGCACCTTCAGTTCAAACCCTACTAAAATCTAAAACCCTCTCTACAGAATTTTTTTTTCCTGGGGTTAAAAGAATGTTGAGGGACTGGATCTGCAAACTGGATAATAACCAGGACTTAGCCATAATAGACTCTTCAAATTTCCCTCACTGGTGCCATCTGCTGAAAACAAACCACTCAAGGGCACAATACTTTCATACACTTACTTTTGCCTTCCTGAGAACCGCATTCACAGAACTTCATTTTCAAACCATGCTAACTGCTGTCTTAGACGGCAGGTACATGAATGTCCCTAAGCATATAAGGCCATGTATTTGCGGAGCAGGTGAGATAGAGGTTGTTGTCCACTATTTACTCAATTGTCAGCTCTATCAAAATCCTGGAGAAAAGTTCCTGGGTAACATTTTGGGTGGCCTACATGAGGAAAGCCCTCAGAAAAAGGTGGTCAGGTTACTTTTGGATCGTGACCCATATGTTACATACAAAAAAGCACTGTTTGTAAAAACGGCTAGAAGCATCAGTGCTAATTTCATGAGAGTCATCACGATCAATTGTGTGGGAGACTCCCGGATACGAAGGGTCTCTTATTTTATATGTCTGTGATTTTATCATGATTTTACTTGATCATATTTGTATTTTTAAACAATTGTGACAGCTTTTAGCCAATACAATAAACTTGCACTTGGAACTACCACTGCTATCACCATCTCTTCCTCCTCCTGCTGCATCACCACTGCCGCCTCTGCTCCCACCATGGGTGCCATCCTCAGAGGCAGCACGCCCAACTTCTGTGCCATGAACTACCAGTTTTCCAGTCTGTGCCCTTCTCTAGTTGACAATAAATGATCACCTAGTCTTGGTTAAAAATGTTGAAGAACTTTTACTGTATAACAGGTAGAATAGCATAAACAGTACTTTTACATTTGGTACTTTTTACATAGACTTGTGCTTGACTTATTTATCACGATAGAGGTTATGATAGAACGTGATAAACATAATTACCCCTTCTTATAACTTCCAGACTAATGGACGTCTTCTCTAACAGACAGCTAACAACCTAAATAACCAATAGACAGCCAGCTGCCACTTGCTTTATTTATTTATGTGACAGTTAACCTTCCAGCTTCTGTTGGTTAATGCCAGATTCTTATTGATAAGAATGCTCTGTCATGAAAATGTCACATTCTAGTCTTACTTTCTCTCTCTCTCTCTCTCTGTCTCTCTCTCTCTCTCCTCCTTATTATCTCTCCTCCTTATTGCATAACTACATTTCCCAAGATAGAGGGTCTTTTCTACTGTAACATCATGACTTTGGCCTCATTTCAGCACCAAGTCAAAACATGGCTGTTATCCAAAACTTTTGGAACATGGTGGTCGTAACCAGACTGGAGTATTGATTGTTATTGTATTCTGTACCTTGTACATTGGTTTAAACTACTTTATTTTATTGTTGTTTAGTGCTCTTTTATTGTTTGTGTACCACCCTGAGATCCTTGGATATGAAGTGGGAAAATAACATTAACAGTAATAATATGGAGAACAGGAAAGTTAAATTGAATGTATAACCTATGTTTGAATTTTGTCTCTTAAATTAAAATAATGTACCATTAAAACTGTGATATATTTCTCAATGGTATTATACTGACTATTGGACATGGTTTAGTTCATTCCACCAGTTGTGAAATGAGAGTACAAAAGTTTGTGCTGAGTCCTTTCTTTAGCCCTTTTGAACATATCTGCTTGAATTCTTCTTGAAAGCACTATGTTATGGCTTTTTTTTGGAATATAAAACAAAACAAAAATAAAACCTTCCATTTGTGATTTACAGGTTAGCAGCAGCTGGCCATCCCCTCACCCCTCAATGTGATATGGATTCCAGTTGTTCTGAGGAATTCTATCAGGCTGTACACCATGCTGAACAAACCTTCAGGAAGATGGAAAGCTACCTGAAGCAACAGCAACTCTGTGATGTTATCCTGATTGCTGGCAATCGTAAGATACCTGCACATAGGTAAATGCTTGTGTCATTAAAAGTATCTGTAACTTGTGGCGTTTCTGTACATTCATTGTGATTTTTTTTTTGCCACACATGCTGTTATTTACAAAATTTTGTTCATTTCCTCAATTATGTTTTCATCCTTTTATGCATCCATCCATTCAATCATGTATTTATTATATTTATTCATTGAAAATGCTTGAATATCTTATATAGGAGAAAAGAGGCAACGCAAGGTAAATAATACTCAATTAAATTTAGTTGCTGTTAATAGCTTTGTAAAAACCAAACAATAAGACTATCAGCATTATATTTAGGAAAAAACAATAAGAATTGTATATATAAAAGAGTTGGAAAATCCCTTTTTGAAAAAAGTGTAGTAAATATGGACTAAATATAGAACAATAATTTTCCCTTAATTTCCCCTTTAACCTGTTTGACTGAACTAGAGAACTTTCTATAAAATTAGAAAAGACTTTTTAAGAATTTATTTAAAAAGAAATGTGCATAGATTAAAAGATTGGTTGGGGGAAATGAACTCCAAAGAAAGAAAAATAAGAATAATATTAGCAGATGAGAAGACAACATGGGTTAATGTGATTCAGCTGGATCATAGAATGAGAGAATGGGAAAATAATAATGGCAAATTGATGAAATTTGAGGAAATTACAATTCAAAAAGAGAAGGAAAAGGACTAAAGAAAGAAAGGCAGGGAAAATATGTAAAATATTGTTGGGGTAGAAAATTAGTACAGTCGTGCCCCACTTAACGATTACCCTGCATTACAGTGAATCCGTTTCATGACGATGTTTTGCGATCGCAATTGCTCTGCTGGTATTTGTGGATTTCAATGGCTTCTCTGTGCAGTCTAACATAATGATTGCAGGTGTTGTCCTGTATTTCAGTATTTTGAAATAGAATTTCATGTCCAGCTTGTTTTAGGGCATGTTCAGCTACTGCATATTTTTCTATTTGTTTTAGTCTGCAGTTTCTCTCATGTTCTTTGATTCTGAAGATGCCGGCCACAGAGACTGGCGAAACGTTAGGAAGAACAACCTTCAGAACACGGCCAAAGAGCCCGAAAAACCCACAAAACCAGTAGATCCTGGCTGTGAAAGCCTTCATAAATACACTGTTAGAATCTGTTTGCCTCTTTGTACCTGGAAGGAAGCCTTGTGGGCTAGTTTTTTGGGGAAAGTAGTGGTCTTGTTCCCCTCCCCCAACACCACAACCCCTTTCATCTGCCAGAGGAAGAGAAGTTGCTGGCCCCTTCGGCGCTCTGTTCCCCTCATGCACCAGCCCTCCCCCACCCATTGGGCACTGGGCGCCTCTGCCAGAGGGCTCCGCAAATGGCACCAGGTGTGTCAGGGTTGTCACTTTCTGGTAAGTCAGGGGAAGTCAAGGAAATTGAAATCGGTCAGAGATAGAAAATATATTCAAGCAGTGGATTTTTGACCCTCTGCTGCAAGAGCATGATCTGTTCTTGTGGCAACTGGAATAGAGAAGTAGCGGAATACAAGTAAAACTTAATGATGCCCTTTCCCAGCTCCACCTTTTTCTCAGCTCCAGCCCCAGCAATCAGCCTAATGTGTTGAGCTCTTTTCCTACATGATTTCCAAAGTCTGCCTGTAGCAGTTGCAAAGCAAGACTAGTTAAACATTTAGCAAGATACAAACTATAAACATCAAACTGTTTTCATCCCTACCTACTAGTACTGCATTTAACTTACATATAAAGATAAGTGTATTTTTGGGTCATGCTTGTATATGGAATGGACATTTTGTCTCCTGCTAAACTCAGCACAGAGTTGCAAATGAGTTTTGCTTCTTTTGGATATCACAATTAAATCGTACTTTCTACTCTGCACCATGCAAAGTAAACTTTTCAAATGTGATTTCTTGTTCCTGGTGCAATTGCAAAACAAGTGTTGCTGCAGTTAATGTTGAAAGAAGCTGATATTAAATCTCTTGCTTTGACAAATATTTTTGCAGTTGAGACTTGTGTAGTTGTAGAGTGGAACATTTCATTAAGACTTGCATTAATGCAACAGGACCTATTCATTTTTTAACTGGTGGTTATATTTGAATGGTGGTCAGGGAAATTGACATATGTTGGTCAGGAAAAGTCAGGGAAATGAAAAATAAAATTTCAGTGGCCACCTTAGGTGTCCATGGGACAAGAGAGTACACCCACTTCATACCTGAGGAGCTTTTGGTGCTGAAAAAATGGGAAAACACTGAGGTCAGATGCTTCAGTGGCATATTTGGGGCTGCCTTTGTTGACTTTTGCTGCCCTTCAGTTAAGCCGCTATTTCCCTTTGGGGCCTTCTGCCAGTTTCATCATCAGGATGCCTTGTTGTCTTTCCCATTTTGTCTTTCGTTCAGTGGGATGTGTTTTCATCTTGGCTGCTGTTCTGCTGCCTGTTTTGGACAATGAGAAATTGCAAATTGGCGCTGAAGATATATTTGGCAAGAAGGCCTGGAATTCAAGCACAGTTGTGTCTATCTGCTCTTTCTTCTTCCTTCATGCCTTTTGATGGTCCCTGTGTTGGAGAGCTATGGCAGCATGTCGAGCACAGTCAGAAGCCAGCAAGAGAGACACGTTTTGTGAATGGTTTGGGCATGGCGAGTGTTTGTAATATTTGAGAAAGTGCTTTTGGGTAGTTTCCAATTGGCTTTGTGACATCGGCTCTGCATTCTTCTGGGGCAGACCCAAGGGCAGCAGTTCACTGTTCCTCGTTTTACCATAATTATTTTGCTCTTGCAAATTTTTAAAGAATGAAGTATGTAAAGTTCAACTACTGAGCAATTTTATCAGATGACCATCTTCAGTCCATTCTAATAATTGACTTCTCAAAGTTGAAACCTCAGTTCAGCAATATTTTGTTCCATCATTCTGATTAATATTGTAGTATACAAGTGCAAGTAGTATACAAGTATATGAGATAACATAGAATATATATTTAATAGTTTTTAAATGGTAGCACTGGAAAGATACATAGTTATAAGGATACCATTGATTTTCAAGTTAAATTGGAGATCTATTCAAATAATTTCCCTCAGAGCCCCAATTGTGCCCAGTGATAATAGTCTTTTAGTAGCTGTTGATCATAAATACTGTAAGTAATTGGAATACTTCTCAGTTAACGGTGTCACATATGCTGGATATGTTGTAACATTAGACACAAGAGTTCTAAAGAAGAGAGGGTTAAGCCAGTTAGTTAATGGAAACAGGTTATCCTGGTTCAGGCCTCTGTGGCATGTAAGACTTCCCCCATTTTTTAATCTCCTCCTCCTCCTCCTTCTCTCTTACTCTCACTGCTTTTAGGGACCCAATCCAAACTCCAAGGGTTTGACTGTAGTGGGTTTGGAATGAGCACAAGTCTCTTGTGCTGGCACAACTGCCCTTGTGCCAACCTAAAGCCGGTTCTGGCTGATCCCAGATCTGCTGGCATAGCTTTTTGCCAACATAAGATCCACCAGCATAAGAGCCAAAAGGGTGATGAAGAGGAGGAGGAGATCAGTTAAGCCAAATCCAAACCCTGTTCAACTCAAACCCAACACCCTTTATGCCAGCATAAATTAGGCAGGGTAAGGGTAATCCTAAATATTTTCTAGCAGATGAAACCCATTGGGAGCTCCTAAAATAATTAAGTCCCTGTCCTCCCACCTCCTAAGTGAGCCATGCTTAGTCAAGAGCCTGAAGTTAGAATAAAGTGTAACTACCTGCCAACCATAAAACACCCTTACCAGCATAAAAACCGCATCCAGGGAAGCCCTCCCACAGGAAATAAAATGTGTGGCATGATATCCTCTCTGTCTCTACACTATGCACACTTAGCACTCACAAGGAAACACTTGAGAAGGATGGCTCACTGTGGGAAATGCACTTTGCACCACAGAACTCCACAGGGGCACTTAGCACAAAGAACAAACAATATCGCATGTGCATGGATCGCCTCTTTTCTAACATCTCTCTACCTAGTGTCCTAACAGGTGGACTTTTCCAGCAATGCAGGTGCTAGTTACAAACACCAAGAAAATTGGGGCTTTCAGCCTCCACCAGAACACCGTGAAGAGAATTAGAATGAAACAGCTGTGCTAAGAAACAAGCACCTATTCCTACCTGTGTCTTCCAGGACTGGAGAGAAATTGCTGTTAGAAAGCTGAAACCTGCACATGCACAAGATACTTCTGGAAAAGTACAGAGCCTATGGGTCCAGTCAGTTCTCCTGACACCCCCTTCAGCTCACTCCCCACAGCAATACAATTTGCTTTGCACTGTCATTTCAAAAGAAGCAAAGCCTCCCACCCTCTCCCTTTCATGCTTTGCTGGTGTTTTCACTGTTGTCCCTGTCTCATCTATCTCTCTCCCCACTGAACAGGCAGCTGTGCTACCAAGTGCTGTTTCCAAACCATTCGACCAAGTATGATCACAGCCACAGAATTGCAATGGGAGTTCATGCTTGAGCCTTGTATATGTATCCTGGTAATGAGCTGGTCAGACAGCTGTGTGTCAGGTGCAGCACAACTTACACAAGGGTGTTCTGCACATGTCCTTCTGCTGTCTGCTCATCCAAGGTACAAAGATGCTGCTGAGGGAAGATACCAATGCCGAAACCACTATTTTCCAAGCATCTTTCCTTTAAACTTGCTCAATAAAATGTCATGTACAACAAAGTTATGCTTGTTTGTTCTTGTTATTACACAGGGAATCTCAGGGCCATTCTCCTAGGAAAGATTGTTGCCGGGGAGTGGGGGGAGAACTAAATCCATTTTTTATTGATAGCCTCAAGGGAAGGGTGGGAAAGAACATAGGAGAAAGAACATCAAGGATCAGCAGGGAGAGCAGTGGAAAATCAGCAGCAGACACTCCATGGCCCTTCCAGTGGGAATGTCAGTGTGTGTTTGTGTGTGGGGGTGGGAAATCACCTCCTTTTGACATGCCACCAACCTAAGAGAGACTTGGCATTTCCTCTGCACTCCAGGAGCCATGCCCAACAGAGGCGGTGGCCT